TGCAGACGTTATAATTGATCTAATAAAAGCTGATTCATTGTTGAGGTTTGTCAGTTGAACAAGTCTGTAACATTATCTGTTCAATAAGATGTCTTTATTACATGGGACAAGTTATTCATCAACTCCTGAGAGCGAGGTTATTTGTAGATATGTTGGCGATCGCCGCTGTGTCTGCGGAAGTACTATGGGATATTGCATGATGGGAGTGAAAAGTCTTTGGATCTGTAAAATAATTTTAGAAAAGTAAAAACTAAAGTGACTGTGAAATAAAGGTTGGTTTTAAATATTAAATATCATGAAATTTGAATGTAATAATTAAAGGAAATTGAACTGGTATGAAAGGGCAGAAAATTTAGCCGGAATGCAAGGTCAGAATCCGGGGTCAAAATACATTCATCAAGGCGGTTGCAAAGTGTCAACAACTGGATGAGGTGAAAGACTTCGTTTGCAGTTTGTGTGAAGGGCCGGGGAGAAAAAAATCATGCAAATTCTGTGCTTCAGTAACAATATATGCTACTTTGTTGTGCAATGAAAATTAATACAAGAAATTCTGCCTAAAGACATGTCCTTCTAGTAAACAAAACAACCTTGGGACGTTTATCTTGTACCCCAGACCATTCGTCCCGGTGTTATCGCTATCGCCACACGAGACTCCAGCTTGTCTCCTATACAATTTGACTGCGAACATCCAGAAAGTAGATGTAGCTGTGATTGGTGGAATACTAATGAGTTGAGTGTCAATCAAACGCCCACGCTATCTTTAGTAAACAAAGTCACGTGACACGCGCCATTTTAGTTTTGGCAGGCGATTTCAAGGCAGCACGCTTAACCCTTTCGTTCACAGGTTGGGAGATATTAGAATGACTGACAATTTCACGCCACTGTTTTACATTATTGGCGGATTTTTCTGCGCTATCAATCTTTCTCTTACTGGATCAAATTGGAAAGACGATTTCCATAAGTTATCCCTCCTGCTTTTCCTGGCTTGAATAAATTCACACACGACTTTAACTGTCCACAAACTCGAAGACTACACGAACACAGTCTACAATAGTCGTCCGCAACAATATGTATGTATTTCTTCGGTGTACTGATGCACGAATGCACCGTGACACGGTGTTTCTCGGGTGTCGCCATCGCTGAGAATGCCGCCGGCGCAATTTTTCACCCAACTCGCGATTCTGTTTTGCAACATTTTATCAATATTCCCTTTGACAAAATCGCCGACAAAAGCACCGCTTTGCTGATCTTTTGTTCTATAATTCTTAATGCAAACACCGACCCTAGTAGTAATTAGTAACGTCGCCTAGTACATATGAACGGTCGTCATTGCAAATCGAACATCCTTTTGAAATTTGGACGTCGGGCAGGCGATTTCAAGGCACCGCACTTAAATATTAGCAACATATTTTTCTGAGCGGTTGTTTATTCTCTTTCAAACGAGACATAAATGTGACGACATAGTCGATCCCTTATCCACCGCTAAGAATGCCGCAATGTTTCGTTCGTTTTGCAACATGCCACAAATCGTCGAAAAAAACACCACTTCGACGGAAGCTTGCGTAATAAGGGGGTTAAAACAAGAAAACAAATGCCATGTTTAATACATATCGACCTGTTTTACTTGCGAAAGATAACGGAACATGAACTCGTTTCGTGCGACTTCGGAACCGAAGGAACACACCAACAACGTTGAATTTACCCGCTATCTTCCAAATATGGTATATTAATTTATTCAGTTGTTTATTTAGAGTGACGTCCGCGGTCGAATGCGATTGGCTATCGATGTCAGTGCAAAGGTCATATGAATATTAAAATTAAGTGGGCGGAAGGAAAATTGTATAGGAGACAAGCTGGAGTCTCGTGTGGCGATAGCGATAACACCGGGACGAATGGTCTGGGGTATTT